ATAGGTTTACCGGTGCAATGAATGATAGGTGTTTGACCAATCAGGGCGCTCGTTATATCTTAGTTATTTTATAAAAACAAAATCACCAACCTTTCTTGACTCATCTAATTCTAGCCGAGCCAAGATTTCTAGATCGACAATAAAGATCCTATTTGCCTCCAACGCCATCCCTAGTGTTTGTCCTTCAAGAAAAAGCTCGAGCATTGCTGACGTCACAGCAAACCTACGACGAAGCAGATTTGTGTGTAGGAATACAACATCGCTTAACTAAATTGCGGCTCAAACATATTGCCATTTAGTGAAGTTTGAATATATGAAAATCATATGTGAGTACTCCGGCTTCATGAAATATATGAAAGCGTTCCTCGCAGCAATAAACCCTACGTCTGTAAGGCTTGAAAAAAATTCCGGCCCTTACTGGTCATCATAATGACCAGCTTCCAGTCGGCTTTTTAGCTCAGTTGGTGGAGCACCGCACTGGTATCGCAGAGGTCATGAGTTCTAATCCCGAACAGGCCTGATTTCCACTACAAATAAATAGGGTCTATTACTGCCGGCGAGGATCGCTTTCATACACATTGCTCTTTGTAAGAAAGATGTATCGAACTGTAAGGTATGCGTAACTTTCAAGCGTTCATGGACGGTTTATGAAGGACATTTGGTTAGAATTGCATACAATGGAAATCAGAAAATTGACGCACTTGTCAGGTATATCGGTACAAAGACGAATCAGTGTTGGATTACAGCCACACAATCTCTGTCGAGCAAAATGCACATCGTCTCTCCAATAGTTTCGTCCCTGAGAGAAAAAAAAGAGGGACAGATGACGAAAACACATGGTAAATGAGGTACATGACAAGCAAGATTATCATTGCATTAGGTGAAATTTTCTAATTAAATATTCTTCCAAGAAACGATAGGAACCTTGCAGTTAAAGTATACCGTATTACGCCGGTTTAACACTAAGCGAGAATGACATTATATTGTGATTAGTTTATTTATACCGCCACATCAACTCTCAGACATCTTCGCTCATGCTCCTTGATTTATTTCCATTCAGTTGAACAGAAGCTCTGTCTTTTTACTTGTTTTCCTTTAGATATTTTTATCAAGTATTTTTTTCTCTCTGATAGACTTAAAAGACTAAGTAGTACCATGATCATCGAATAGGAATTTCTTTTCTTTCAGTAGATGATATAAATATCCACTAAGTGCTGCAGCTTTCAGTGTAACAACGATCGGTCACGTGATCTAAAATTCAATCAACCTACCGCTGGTTTGCCAAATTTTCTGTCTAAGATTTCGTCAAAGTCATGAAGCGAATTCCAGTCAATGTCATTCTTGTTTAGTGCTTAGTCCCAGTCAATATCTCTCAAGTCGTTCAGAAATTCCTGCTTTGAATAATGCTTGTATGACCGATATTCAAGGGTTCTCCTTAGAGCCTTGGGAACACCTGATTTGGTAACGCAGAAGATCAAACAATGGTCGCTTAGGGGTGATGGAATAACGCCTCGGTCAATAACATGATGAGACGTATTAGTAAACAATAGGTCATTCAATTTTAATGATTTTTCTGTTATTCTCGTTGGTGTATCCCTCGTTGGTCTCGGTGACAAATATTTGTCACCTGGAGAAGTTTGCACTACTTGGCTTTATCATTATTCATCTCAGAGCATAAAAGATTTATGTTGAAATCCCCAAGCTAAACAAGCTTGTTCTTCTCAGGCACAGAAGACATAGATGTGTTTAAATCTTTATAAAAAGTTTCCAGATTCAAATCAGGTCCTCTGTAGATTGTCTAGATTATCAGTTTCTTGCATTTAGGTC